TACATGACAAAAACCAAAGTGGCTGGTTATCTCTTCTTATGCTTTTACCTTTGGTGAATTTATTCTTTTTTGTTTATTTAAGCTGTGCAAAAGGAGATGCTGGGACAAATAACTATGGCGCACCTCGAATTACTCGTGGTTGGGAAAAAGTATTGGCTTGGATTTATATTGTGATCTTCCCGATTAGTATTCTAATTCTTGCAGTTACAGCAATCCCAGCATATCAAAGTTACCTTGACCAAGCGCAACAATTTCAGCAATATCAACAACAAATCAATCAATCTGAATAAATCAGCCGAAATAACCACCCTATTTTTATAAGGTGGTTATTTTACTCTTTGGTGACAAAACCACCTTCTAATGGCTCAACACTAATTTTAATATCTGCCTTTAAATTTAAAGCTGCATAACGGTCTTTAATTTCGTTAATCAATTGTTCCATGGTGACATGGCTTAAATCCAATTCAGACTCAGCATACGCTTTGGTCACCAGATCTGCTTTATCTTGCTGTTTAGATTCCATATTCCAGCGTTCAGTCATCCCAACTAAACGCGCCAATTCAATTAAGCTTTGCGCACTCGACGGTGTTGAGTTTTGCAACCATTTGGTCATGGTTCCTTTTGAAGTTTCCAGTACGTTAACAATATCACTGGCTTTTATATTTTTATCCTGAATTAATTGCTTTAAACGCTTGGCGCCTTCTATAAAAAGATCATCATCTTTTTCAACCATACAATTTATTCCTGTGTTTTTGACCCACAAAACTATCATCTTTTATTCAAAGTTTGTTATAACACAATATGGTTAATATTTTTAATGCTTAAACTGGTCGACTAAAATTTGTGAGCTTAAATTTGTGAATATTCAAACTCAGCAACTTCCTAGTAAAGAACAAATTCAGAGCTTTCCCCGTTTTCAAAATTTGCCTTTGAGTAACATTGTTGTGATTAATAGCTTGCAACAATGCCAAGCAATTGAAGCAGAATTAAAAACAGCGCACATTTTTGGTTTCGATACTGAGTCCAAACCTACCTTTAATAAAGGTGAAATTCAAACTGGTCCACATCTTATTCAACTGGCGACATTTGAAAAAGCCTATTTATTTCAAGTTTCACCAGATATTTTGGCTTTTCTAGCGACCTTTTTTGAAAATCCTGATCAGATTAAAGTTGGTTTTGGCTTAAAAAATGATGCACATTTATTCCGTAAAAAAGGCATGCAACTCAACAGTGTCATCGAACTTTCAAAATGCTTTTCGAGTTTTGGCTTCAATAATCCTTTAGGAATTAAAAATGCTATGGCATTGCTATTCCAAGTCAATTTCCCTAAAAGTAAATCTATTAGCACCTCAAATTGGGCACGTAAAATCCTCACAACACCACAAATTGAATATGCTGCAGCCGATGCCTATGCCGCACTCTTAATTTTCGAAGCCTTACTGGATTTAGATTTAATACCTGACACGATTGCACATACTCAGCTTAAATTGAGCATTCGCGCCAATAAAAGCCTAAACTGACACTTAGAAATTGATCAAGTTTTTGCTAAGATGAAGATCAATAAATTCTTCATTGAGATTAAGCAAGGAGCGAAAGCATGCTGATCATTCTTAAATTGAGCATTCGCGCCAATAAAAGCCTAAACTGACACTTAGAAATTGATCAAGTTTTTGCTAAGATGAAGATCAATAAATTCTTCATTGAGATTAAGCAAGGAGCGAAAGCATGCTGATCATCCCGGCAATTGACCTGAAAGATGGTAAATGTGTTCGTTTAAAACAAGGTCGTATGGAAGACGATACCGTATTTTCTGATGATCCTGTTGCAACAGCACAGCATTGGGTAAATGAAGGCGCTCGTCGTTTGCATTTGGTTGATTTGAATGGGGCTTTTGCTGGAACACCAATTCATAAACCTGTCGTTGAAGCAATTGCAAAAGCACAGCCTGAACTGCCAATCCAGATTGGCGGTGGTATTCGCTCTTTGGAAACAATCGAACATTATTTAGATGCGGGCGTTTCTTTTGTCATCATCGGGACCAAAGCAGTTCAAAATCCTGAATTTGTTGAAGAAGCCTGTAAGAAGTTTGCGGGACACATTATTGTCGGTATTGATGCGATCAATGGTATGGTTGCAACTGATGGCTGGGCAAATGTCACTGATGTAAAAGCCACTGATCTTGCAAAACGTTTTGCAGATGCCGGTGTATCGAGTATTGTTTATACCGATATCGCACGTGACGGTATGATGCAGGGTGTCAATGTTGAACAGACAGTAAATCTCGCACAATACTCAGGTCTTCCAGTGATCGCCTCAGGCGGTGTAACTAATCTGGATGATGTGCGTAATTTAAAAGGTAAACCGGGTATTTTAGGTGCGATCACAGGTCGTGCAATTTACGAAGGCACATTAAACCTACGTGAAGCGCAGCTGTTATTGGATGAACAAGGCTTTTAATTTCCCAGCCTAGATCTGATTAAAAAAAGAGAACTTAGATGTTCTCTTTTTTATGCGTTAAAAAGTGGTCTTTAAATCAACATATCGATATTTAAACCAATGTATTTTCAAAATGTTGCATTTCAATTTTACTTGCTAAAAAGGGCTTCATTGCCGTAAACCACTGTTTAAATTCATCTGTTTTCATAAAAACATCTGTATGGGTTTTAAGATCAATCCAGTGAATTTGTAGAATATATTTTTGGTTGTCTTCTATACCACGGATCAATTTAAATTTTTCACAACCTTGGGCATTCCGGAAGGTGTCTGATAATTCATAAAATTTCTTTTCAAAAGCCATTTGTTGACCATCAACAATATGAAATAAAGCCTGTTCGATCACCATGATTTATTTCTCTTTATCAAAATTTTGATTCAATATGCTAGCACGACTGCATGACAATTGAGTGATTTAAATACCCGATTACTCAGCTTAACATCTGCACAATACTGTGCTTTCGCGTAAAATAGCCCTGCTCTTCTACATTACTTTATTTTATGTCTTCCTCTCCCCTCGCTTTATTTTTAAAGTCCAGAACGCCTCAAATTGCACTGATCCTGATGACCATGATTTGGGGTGGTACATTTGTCATTGTACATTATGCCCTAAACTATAGTTCCCCTATTTTTTTTGTCGGTTGTCGTTTTGCTGCAGCGACCCTTGCTGTTGGATTACTGTCTTATAAATATCTAAAAGGTATCAATTTAAAAGAACTCATCGCTGGTGCACTGATTGGCGGCATGATTGCCGCAGGGTATGGCTCGCAAACTGTCGGTATGCAAACCATCAGCAGCAGTGAGTCTGCATTTTTAACAGCCTTATATGTGCCCCTTGTGCCGATTCTTATCTGGATGATTTTTCGCAAAAGACCACATATCATGACTTGGCTTGGTGTTTTACTGGCGTTTATCGGTTTAATTTTTTTGACAGGAAATGGTTTTCATCATATTGATTTAAATACGGGGCAAATCATTACATTAGTTGGCTCGTTTGCAATTGCTATGGAGATTATTCTCATCGGGCACTTTGCAGGGAAGGTCAATATACAGCGTGTAACGGTGATTCAGCTTGCCTTTGCTTCATTGATTTCATTTGCCAGTATGCCTTTTGTGGGTGAGCTGCATATTCCAGCCTTTTCGTGGCAATTGGTGATGCTTGCTGTTGGACTGGGCTTAACCAGTGCTTTATTACAATTGACGATGAATTGGGCACAACGTTCTGTCGATCCGTCTCAAGCTGCCGTGATTTATGCTGGCGAACCAGTTTGGGCAGCTTTATTTGGCAGAATTGCAGGTGAACGCTTACCTTTACTGGCTCTTTTTGGTGGTTTACTTGTGGTATTGGGGGTGATCATCAGTGAATGGAGACCCAAATTTTTATACAAACGACAGCTTAAAGAAAACTCAGTTGAGATAGAAAAACAGCGCTCTTAATCAGAACGCTGTTTTCACTAAAATTACGCTTTGATCAAGCTGTATTGCTCGGGAACAAGATCCATCAAGCATTATTGATTCAGTTATATCGGTAAGGCTTGATCATCATTCAGCGCAATAATGCCTCGAATGGCCCGATAGACAATCCATATCCAAGAAATAAATAAAGTGGCAGCACAAAAAATCGTAGCACCCACGGCTACACCAGCAAAGGCGTTGACATTATCCATGGTGAAAAATAGAAAAATAAACGGAATAAATGCAATTACCGTCCAGACTAAATACCACCAAAAAGTGCGAATTTGCCATCTAAAATGACTTTCGAAAATCGTACCACGGACCGAATTCAATTTTACATAATTGATAATCAATGCAATGATTGCAAGAATTCCCGCAGAAAAAATTGCAACAATATAAAGGATATATAAAATTAAAGTCAGAGATTTACTATTATTTGGATCAACATAATTATTCATTGTAAGCCCTTTTAAATTTGCTAACGCCCGTTTAAATCTTAAACATATTCAAAGGCGAAATTAACCATAAAATCAATAAAATATTAAAGAATATGGTACACAAATAAATCTTTTTAAAGGGTTGTTTTTGTGTTTTATGTCGTAAGCGTTGCTGTGCTAACCAAG